GCGTATAGTCCAAATGATAAACTAAAAACGAAAACTGACGCCTTCCACCTCTAGATCCCTTTGAGGGGAAGAAAAGGATGGAGGAGAATAATGCTTTGGTTTCTCGGCTCGTTCGGCAGGCATCATTCAAGTCTTAGTCAGAAAGCTCTTGGCTATCAGCGAGGCAAGTTGTCTTTTCGTTATTAACTCGATTCAAGCGTACTTATAATTTCCGATCGTCTAAAGACATTATTTATTTTACAATTTGATTACATTTGTTTACTTATAATTAATAAATACTAAAAATTTTATTTGTCATAATAATAAGTTAGATATAATTTTGTAATAATTGTTTTTATTCACACTACTCTTAACGCGAACATCTACCGTAATGAATTTTTATAATCACTCAAATTGATGTATGTATGCACAATGATAAGAATTATATACAAAAGTAACTTGTCCGAATATCTCTATTACTACACATTTTGACAAAAGCTCGTTCGATCGATGGTCGTCGATCGGAAGCAAAGACAGTCTCTAGGGACAAGCAAGAGCAAAATCGCATATTCGCTTATCGACAGGGACACGCGCGCCCGGCACAGTAGAGCTTTGTTCGCCGGCGCGCAAAGATAATTACCGAGCCGACGCGTCTCGGATTACGACGGCGATTTTGATTGCGGGATGCTAATAAACGAGCCCCTCGTGTAGGGATTGAACTTTTCCCCAGATTCTGGTTTACTTGTTAGTCAACGCACCCTATATGGATGTACTGACAGCGACCGCCGCATTTGTCAGGGTTGAAGGTTACATATGTCCCATTCCCTAAAATAAAATTGAAATCTGAGTGTACAGGAAAAATATAGAAAGTGGAATTTGTTATGTGAGAGAAGCTTGTTGAAATATTCTTTACATTAAGATTCCGTCTGCCAATTTCTATAAAAATATATAGATAAAATGAAATCTTCCAAGCAGTATAGATAGTAGACTGGAATCGTCAGAAAAAAAAATTTCCCGCAACCTTCGTAAAGTTTCATCCGATTTTCACTTACTCAAAACCCTTCAGATAACTAAGCCAACAAAATAAGAAAGAATCTTACGATCCCTTGGCAAACCGATTTTCCATAAATAACCTTTTATAACCGTAATTTGCGTCAAGTATATAAGCACATCCGAAAGCGAGAGGGCAGTCAAAAAGTACGAGGCGAGCTCGCGCAAAAGCGAACAAGAAAAAATGAAGCGGAGAGGGTAAATTCGGAGCCAAAATCTACGTGCGGACTCGAGCAGAAAACTCCATTCAGAAGTTTCTCTCACGCTCACTTACGAAAGCTCGACAACAAAAAAAAAACCCTCACTGGTAATATTAGGCAACCAAGCGATAGATATCACGGTAAAACGTAAATGAGGCGCATTGCCAAGACGGGAAATAGTAAAAAGGAAAGCCCATTCGTGATTTTTACCCATCCACTGTTTGCCGAAATTTATTCATGAGAGATGTGTTCCTTTCTTTACTGTTCGTTTTCTTCTTTGTCTTTTTTCACGCGGTAAGGGATTAGCATTTTTATTACCGATGCGCCAAGTGTATTATTGCGGAAACACGAGTGGAACGCGATGATGTAAAGTCGTAAGTAATAAGTGGTGATGGGAACTTTGATTTCCTAAAAGATAGTCATTTTATGAGGTCTCATTTTAAGTTTCGGGTTTCCGAATGAGAAGGTATTGGAAATGGCTGCACAAAAGATTAATTTGAAATCGAGAATACTGGGACACAGAAGTTAGTTAGATATTAAAAACACAACCATGATACAGGGTTTATTGTTAATTAATGCAAATATACACATAGCTTGAAAGAGATCATATTATATAATACTCCATCAAGCACGCACTTGACTCGGCAATTCCCATGTGCAATTTAGTAAAATTATCGAGATAAATAGATATGCCTAATTAAGCAAACTCATTGATATAAGACATTTTTCAATTAATGAACGGATTCCATTACTCAGCCTGATCGATTATTCCATTAAAAGTTAGTTAGCAATAACTAATTTTTAGACAACATCTGTATCTGTGCGAAAGTAAAAAAGCCAGGTGCAGGAATTTTCTCGAGAGTCCAAATTTTATTGCCTTCCCCTTCCGCTCGAGAAGTCTCGAAGGATGCACTCTTACTGAGTCACCACTAACAGTCACAGTCCCACGCATATAGTATTTTATTCAGTGTTTTTTGATTATCACTATCATATAAAGACAATTAATATTATCGCGTACTACGTTACATACTACCTTTATATTTCTGTATTATCTTCAGCTACCTTTGTGTTAATAATAAAGTTTCACTTAATAATACTTAAAGTTATTCTGCCATAAATACAACAATATTTTAAAAAAATTATCAATATAAGTACAATAATATTTATCTTTTTACTAATTATTGTAATTATTATAATATCCATTTTTTTTAATTTTTCAAACAGATTTTTATTTAAAAACCATACTGAACCATTACAGTAAGAAATTAATTTGTCAAAATTATTTTATTTCAAGAAAGAAATCCCATAATTATGTGTACACACTTCACTGTATACATTATTGCTGTAATAAGAGCGTACAAGAAAACAAAATCTAAGTCGTTTTTGTGTTTAAAAAACAAGTTTGGAATAAAAACTCCGTAGAGGATGTCAACTCTAAGTAGCTTTACATCTGCGGTAAAAATATATTTTCTCTTTTCCCATTAGAAAAAAATTTGATACTATAAATATTTACGTCTACCTCTGTACATATATACTTACATACATACATATCTGTACATATGTACATACATACCTTTTGTATACTTGGTACTTGAAATCACGGTTGTTAAGTTTCAAAGCATCTGTCTTAGTCGAGATACAACATCGTCAATCTTGTTACACATAAACGCACGATGAATGTTATTTTTAGTTACACATATAGTATATTTTTACAAGCATTTCCTGCAGTCAAAGTCGCAGGTGTTTATTTTTTAATAAAAGTCTATCAATAGTGTTTGCGAGGCATATTTCTTTAGTTCCAGTTCTTTGATCAGCAACGTAACTAATAAAAATGAATGACTTTTACTAAGTGCAATAAGTGCACACAATACACAGCTATTTTTAAAATAGAAATAATTTATATAATAATGTGTGCGTCTCGTGTAATTTAGCCTTTACAATTGCTACGTAATTACATAAAAGACAATTAATTGTATCCCTCCAGAAAAAGAAAAATTAACAAGTTCCCCTAGTCTCTACTGACAACACCTCGTCAACGTCGAGAAGCAATCCCCGAAAATTTCGCTTGTGTATTCTTGGCTGCGCAATCGATCAACGAAAAAGAAAGCAGCAGACATGCGGTCGAAAAGGGTCATTTGTTCAGAACTGTTGACTCTTCGCATTGTATAATAATACAAGCGACGCCTCGGTATACGAATGGACCGTTGCGAAAGCGCATCAAGATCCTGGCGTCTCAGCGAAAAACGTTTTGTCACGGCGACGATTTATCACTCGACCACTTGAGACACACGACCTTCGACTTTTAGTGCATCGCCAGGGATGGAGGGAGGCGAAAGAAGTCATAGTGGTTGCCAGCAGAGATGAGGGTGTGCTGCTAAGATAGCTGCGGACAGCAATAGAAATTAGTATAAGAACTAAGTAGGACTAAAATGGCGCAAAAAGAGGCATTTAGAAAATGAGAGGATCTTTAGGTGGATTAGATACTTTCGCAAGGTACTTTAGCTCTTCTTTTCTACGATTATTGCAGTTGTGCAGCACTTAGTTGTGTTTTGTTAACAACAGTGCTTTCCTGAACAGGGCGAAAAATATCGAGAAGCCCAATTCCATTTGTTACTCGAAAATAATCCTGCGGATAGTCTTTTTTTTTCTCATCTCATAATTTGATGGGCTCGGTCCTGCTACAAGGACGCTATCCGCAGAAGAAAAAAGTTTACATAAGAATGCTAGGGTATCCATTCTCCGCAAAAGACAAATAAGCGCCATAACTGTCATCCGAGAATAAGCATGTATCTAACAAAAAGAGCCAGTTTCCAACTAGCGAACAGGAAAAGAAGGAGAAGAAGAGCCTAGCCTGGGCCTCCGTTACGTAATTGTTTGTACTGCCGCATCCCTTCACCGGTTGAGTAATGGATGAATTTCAGTATAATACACGGAGAGCAGGAGAATCCGACGCGTTTGGAGGAAGCAACAATGATTTGAGCCAGTGGCTCGGAGCCAAGAAGAGGAAGTAAAAGCCTTCCTACGTCCCTCTCTTTCTTTTTCTTTCTCTCGTCTATATGCAGGCCCGCCTGTGCCGAAGCAAAGTTGTGCGCCACAGTTGTTTATTATCGTAGGCGGGTAGGGTAGTATAAGTGGGCGTGCGCATCTTAAGCCGCGAATAATGCAGTCAAATTAAGCTCTCGTTTAAATTGCAGGCCGAGCTTATACGCCGCCAACGCGCGCAACTTACCTAGTTCGTTTATCGAGGGATTTACTTTCAGGCGCCGAATGAGATTTTACGCGAGACAAGCACTAAGTTTGAGGCCGTTAAGTTACGCCAACTTGTTTTTTTTACTAGCTATATATACTCATTGTAACTGGCGCTTATATCTATCGTCGAAAGGCATAAGAGTAAGAATATTAATTCACACTGCAAACCATATGCAAAACAGAGAATTTTCTCTTTCGAGCAGTTTACCGAAAACTCATGTATGGTATGAAAACTTGCAAAATTAAATTCTTATTTACAATGTGAAATTTTTCTCGATTCCGATAATAAATTTTAAATAAAACATTTTTAGCAAGTTGTTCTTTTCACACACACACATATATATATATGTATATGTGTGTGTGTGTGTGTGTGTGTGTGTGTGTGTGTGGTAACAAAATATTTACCTCGCTTAAACAAGTGATTTGTAACCGGCAGAGCATTAAAAACCATTATAATTGAAATGATGTGCATAGGTTATGTGCTTTATGTTAATTGTAAGGTCTTTCAAAGCTGTCACTCACCAATCACTCTTTTGTTAATAAACTTGAAATCTTTTTAACTTATAACATAGCTGATATTTCTTTTCCCGGAAAGTATGGATTGAGGAAAAAACTGTTGAAAACGTTTCGATATCTGGTGAGGAAAAAGAAAAAAATGTATATTGTAAACATTTCAGTACAGCAATAAATTGTCAATAAAACCTTCCACTTTTGTATCCTTGTAACCTAATTTTAGAAATCCCCTCACCTTTTCATTAAATCTTCGTGCTGTATAATTTATTCATATGACATCGTCAACACAATGGAACTGCGGTTCCAAAACTAAATAAAAAAATTTATTCGTAAGTTTGATTATTGGACATCGCCAAAACGCTGTGATTTTAACAATTACAGTAATGTTAATTATAACTTAGTTATAGTCTTATACCAATTTGTATCAGTCAAAAAACCAAATTTTGTTTCAGAGCTGTTTTAATCTTATGTAACGTGATCTGTCGAAATAAAATTTCCTGACCGGATTGTCACCAGACTGTTGATTCACCTGTTATTAACAATTTTCAACAATTACTTGCAATTAATTTGGTTTTTTTTGTAATATGAAAATTTTTCAAGTTTCCTTAGCAGAATTTGAACAAAAAACATTCTTTGAGGTTGTTCTCTCTACTTGTTATATATAATTTCAGTCAAAATATTTTCAGTTGGTGTAAGTAAATTATTCGTGATCGAAGAAACTTTAAAAAACGTTATAATCATCATGACGAACGTATGCCGATAATGTATTCAGGCCCTTTTCTATGCACGTCGTGTCAACTGTAATGGTTTTTTAAAGCTCTGTCAGTCACGAATCATTTTCTTAAATAAGTTGGAAATACTTTTGATTGATGAAATTGATAATGACGATATTTTTTATAGAAAACTATTGATTGAAAAGAAAAACTGTTATAAATCTTTCGAAATTTTCTAATGAAGTCGAACACAATTTGATTTGTGCGTCAATTTCGTAATTAATTGTTGAACATTTCTTAATAAAAATTGAATGGATAAAGTGGCAACAAGCTACTTGGAATATTTATATTCAACAAATATAAATACCAAAAAAAAATTTTTATGGATCTATTCGATTTGAAAATAATAAAGGAATAAATTTTATGTGAAAATGCATAAGAAATTATAAACAGTTTGGACAAAATGTATACAAATATTGTACAAATTTTATGAAAAACAATTTATGGAATGTGAATAACGAGACAAAATGTTCAATGTTATGCTATCAATCAACTTGTTTATAATGACTACTTTGTACCTAGTGAATTTCATAAAACGCATCAAACTAAACATATTTTTATCGTATATTTCACTATTTGCCAAATAAAGCAACTACTATAGTAAACAAAAGTCACTGCATTATATGATCATCGAAAATACTGAAAAATACATGAGCTTTCATATTTTTCGCTAATATAGTAGAGAATTAAAAAAGTGGATTCGTCCTATTACGCAATCATGAAAATAATAAAAGCAAATTTTGTCTTGTTATTGATAACACTGCCAATTGTACCCTATATGTTCAACGATTCCGGTCTTTCGATATTATATATAAGATTCTTTTCTGACCCACAAGAAAACTAATTCGGTACATTACAATACATTTGACCCATGTTATTTTCTGTACGTTACATTACCCTTCGAAGTTTTCCTGTGGATGATGATCAATCATTTGAAACTTTGGATACGCATTTTCAGGATGAATTTTTATTATCAAAACCAATATAAAGTACCTCCAAAATATACATGGTTCGTTTCAATCATTACATTTACATCATTTTGTTATCAAGTTTCTTTACTTCAGTTTTTCAGAGCACATAAATATTATCTCGATACCTTTTAGAATTGAATATAATTTCAAAATTGAATCAAAATAATCATTCAACATTTATTATTTACTTTTATATCCGTTATATACAAGTATTACTAATCAAAACTCTTATATAGTATAATGTTATTTAATTTATCGATTAAAAAATATTGCCTGAAAATATCAGCTTATGCTATATTTAAAAAAATGGATTCAAAAATCACTCTATAAAATGAACACACATTGTATAAGCAAATTTAGGAAATCAAATTAGCTGTTATGTTATAAATACCCAAATTAGAAAGATTGGCGTATAACTCTACTTTAATCATCATATAATATTTTCACATAAATTTTCAAGGGCATTTTCAGTAACTCAACAGCCAATCTTCATACAGATTATAATATATTATAGCATTGCGTTACTTAATTAAATTACACGATGTAATACTTTACATTTAAATTACGTTAAAATAATCACTGGTTGTTCTAAACAATTCCTCAATAGGTGATTTGTCGCTAAGTAGAGCATCAGTAATGTAAAGAGTAGGGATTGAAGAAGCCCAAGGTTATGAAAACCCAGAAAGATTGTTCTTACTCATCGGTCAGTTCACGCTTGACTCTTCTGTAAGCAAGGTTTAATTTGTTTAGTAGATCAATCAATTGTTTCTATTTTTTAATAAATGAGTATCGTTCTTTTTCTTAATGAAACGTACGTAAAAAAAATTGATTTTTAATTTAATTATAAAGATTTATTAAAAATTAACTTGATATCAAACTCAATGAGCTCTAAGTACATTACAAAATATTTTCAGGACATAAATCTTATAAAGTATAAATATAATAATATTGATTTAATAATAATATTATGAATGAGAAACAGACTAACTGGATTTTTACTTAAATTATCAGCCCGATTACTAAAATCAATTTCATTCTAGCGGACTTTTCAGAGCAGTATTCGTTTTGATACGGCGTAAATTTTTGTCTGAATTATTAATAATATTTTGATAAATCTTAGTAAACATATATGTTTAATCAATGAATTCAATCTTATCAACTTATCAACGTTTTCAATAGAGCATTATAAAAGTAGTGTGTGTTTGATATAAATTATTACAGGATACATGATGATGAATTTTTAATTTTGTGATTGTTAGATCAAGGAATAACATAATTAATATGCAGTAATGCAGTAAAATATGTGAAGTTATTAGTTGTAACGTTACTACGATAACCTTTAATTTATACAGAAATAATTTAGTTATTAAATTAGTATATTTTCATTATGTAACGGATGGAGGGGTTTTTATACCGTTCCATAATTGTCGAAAATGGAATTATATGTATGAAATAAATTCAGTTATAATGACAATTAATTGTATACCTTTATTAATGAGAAACTAGTAAGACTTAATTGTGTGTGTACACGGGCCTACTATCTGAGCTTGAATTGTGTCTCGGTCGCACCGAAATTATCTTAGTGTGCATTTCGCTTAATCGTTTCTACTTAATTGTCCTCGTGAAAGTACAAATGCACTTGCATACGCGACTCGAAAAATCTGACAAATATCTTCGAAGCCGAGAGCACGTACCGAGCAAGAGTAAAAGCGGAAAATGAAGACAATTGACTCTTACGAGGATTCACCCGTGACAATAATTCATTTCCGTTATTGTATTTGAAGCTTGTCAATATATTTTTCACCAATATTTTTTTGTCTGCGCACGATAACAATTCATTTTTAGTCTATAACTTGAGCTGCATTTAATTTTTTAGTTTTGTGAACTAATACTTTATAAATTTGTAAATATAAATAATATATTTATAACAAATTTTGAAACTTTAACATTAAATAATATATCTGTATTCAATGAAATTAGAATCAAAATTTTTTTTTCAGGATTTCGAAATTCACGAAAATGACAAAATTATTTGTGACATGCATGTTATTGTACACGATTGCTACTAGCATTGCACGAGCTGAAGATATTATAGAATTACACCTGGAAAATCCAGTTACCTTCATAAATGGTGATAGTTTATATACATTATGGAAAACTAACACATCAATTCACCTGAATTCAACGAATGCCAAATTCAAACCATGTTCCATTGATATTGATCCAGTTAATGATTTCACACTTATGAAAATCCAAGTAAAAGAACTATCCGATGGTAAATTTATTATTTGGGCTATCCGAAATTTCAATTCCAATAACCACGGAATCGTTAGACTCAATTATACAGCTCTCATAGTTGATCCATCGCTATGCAGCTACAAAGCTGTGCTTATTCCCGAGGAAATAACGACTACCAAAAGTTGGCCCTTATTTTCTTCTCGTGTCGTAAATATCACAGATGGGTTTGACTTTTTCTATTCAAAATATGGAAAATGTTCACCGTGCCGATTTTCTCTTCAAGGAGAGCCTATCCCCTTAGAATACCAATTAGAACCTGAAGAAGAAACATTTGTACCATACGGTTTTAATATCCAGCCTTTAGATGAAACTGACTTGAGTAAAGGTTACATCTACTCTCTAAATTTCAAAAATGATACTTCACTAATAAAGCATCTTGATGCGAAATTCAAAGTTATTAAGAAGATACTATTACAACATCCAATACATTCCGTCTCCATAACTTATGTGAGTATATTTTTTATTATTCTATTGTTATTGCTTAATCATATTTTCCTTCTTTGATCTATAAAAAGTAGTAAAAACTAATTTTGAACTTTTATTAATATAGAAAAAACAACCTATTATTAGTATCTGCTATGCGTCGCATAATTTCGTTGATCACGTTGTTAATCACAACTTTAAAGTCTACTGCAAACAATTCGACTCTGATTTGAACTCTGAGTTAACTATTCATTTGCCTGTACCTGATGATCAGTTTGTATTTGGATTGACAGGACTTACACACCGAGTTAACCCATCTGGAAATATGTTTATTGGTTTAATGCAAAGCTTAGATAGGAATAAAACAACTCGTGCATCTCGACAACTTCGATTATTTGTAACTGATAAGACTGGAAAAATTGTTGATACTCGTAATTATAAAAAAATAAATATGCAGAGTACAAGAGAATGGTTTGAACTACACAGCCATTTATTCCTTGATAAGAAATTTTGTATAATTTCCGACACATTAGCTGATGTATCGGTTACTAACACTCACGAGATCATTACGTGTCTTGATGTCTCCAAATATTTCAAATAAAGAGTATTTAGAATATATACGAATTTGTTTTAATTATGCAAGTAACAATATTTTGTAAATATTATTCATAAATATCCTGATTTTTTGTTATTTTTTTAAAATAAACTTTCTAATCATCTTTAATAATTCTTTTCGAAATGACCACATTCAATATCTTTTTAGCTAAATATTTATATTAAAAGGAATACTGATTTATTTAAATATTATATTTATATTAAAATAAATCAATAATTGTAAGATTCACTCTTTTAAGTTTGTTTATTAATTCGAGATTGAGCTATCATTTTACGTGCTTAGGAATTTTTCTAATACAATTTTTTTAATAATAGCCGAAAAATAAAGGTGCAGCGAATTTTTGAAATATTCCTCGGCATTTTTCATTATTTTATAACACACAAAACAAATAAAATTTAGTTTAGGCATTTAACTTTTTTTCGGTTTTGCGTGTCACAAAAGTTTATTTTTTAGCGGATTTTGTCATATAGATTAAAAATATCTTATACGCATCTATCTAAGTATTTTTTGGTTTTTTTCTATTAATCTTTCTTAGCCCTTACAGAGTTATTTAGCTATAATGTTACATTGTAGTCATATAATTATTTACATAATTTAGGATTGTTACTTAGTAATATACATATTTAAAAATACTAGAAGTTTGATGTTGACATGATTCTGTAGGACATACAATTCATATATTTAGATTACAGTCATGAAAGAATTTATACAATAGATTACATATTGCTGAACAAGGATTACAGATTATACAATTTACGCTGAGGAGAAATTGAAACTTTAGTTGTGAAGCTTTTTGATGAGATTTGTTCGCTGTTTGTGATATAGTAAATATCTTGCTATTCGTATCCACAAGAGCAGCAAGCAAATTTATGCTTGTATGCTTGTATGACGGACAAGCCATAATGATTGACTTTGCAGCGATTAACTGTGACAATGACTTCGTGATCGAGAATATTATTATGAAACCATGCTTTTGTTTCGTTTGTGCTAAAATGTATAATGTATTTTTACCCTTTGTGAATACTTAGCGTTAGCGTTTTAATTTTGGTATCTTCAATGGCAACTTTTTTAAATACAAGTAGTAAGTTAGTGTATGGAATGTACATATTTTTATAAAACGTTCAACAATAATGGTAATATCGTCTGCAAATTTAGTTATAATTACATTTTAGGTAAGTTTCTTTCTAAATTACACAGGTCTACAAAATAAACAGTTTAGTTTATGGCAAGAATACTAACAACATATCCCGTAGGTTTTTGATATGGCCGACTTCGGCCTCAGAATCCCTCTATCACGCCAAATTTTTGAGATATTCTAACCTAAAAGTGAAAAAAACACTTTTTCGTCATGTTTGAGTTTATGTTACATCTCGAAACAATTTTTTTTCTTAAAAATGGGTTCTGTCATTTGGAAGTATCACTGTTACCTTTCAAAACCCTTTTTTATGGTAGAATTCTTTCATGGAATTCGTAGTAAGCTACCTAAAAAATGTAACAGTTTACACTTATCTACTTTCTGGAAAAATTTCATTTATTACAAGACTGTAACGAAATCAAAAAAATACTAAACTTCAATTAACGATATCTTTGAAGATAGAAAAGATTTTCGAAAAATTAAAAAAGGGTTTTAAATGGTATTTACAATATTTAATTTATATGTATTTTCAATGACAAATCAGTTTTTACGAAAAAACATTAAATTCGCGATGTAATATAAACATAAATATAACGAAAAACAGTGTTTTTTTTCAGTTTTAGATTAGGATATCTCAAAAACCTGACGTGATAGCGGGATCCTGAGGCCGGATTCGGATTTAGTGCATCCAAAAACTACAGGATACATTGCTATTTTTTTTGCGATAAGTCCTTGTTGACCTGCGTTATTTATAACAACATACGGCTGTCTTTTTAAATAAAGTAACAGTTACCCACACGATAAACTTGATATATTACATGCCCGATTTTTATTTAAATTTATACTTAGTCAAGTCGATATTTATGTGGTAATGTATAATTTCCTTAAGTTTTCCAAATTAATTCTTAATATAATTTCAAACGGGCAACGATAAGAAACCTGCAAAACGGTAAATATTCTATGTAGTATCGCAAATTTAAAAATCATTTCATCAATTCAACAATATATTAACATTGAATAAGTTATTTTTGAATTTTCTTAATAACGTAACTCGTCCCTAAAGTAGTACCGCAATTTGAACATATAGGTATCAATAATTCCATGGTTATGTCACATTCACTTATAAAATATAATGTATTTTTTATGGTTTCATTTTACTAAACTATTAAATTTTCATAATAAATTCAATTATATAGCAAGAATCCATTCACTGTCCCATCTGATAATGAATTGTACTCGTATAGTACATGGAAGAGTAACGCATTCATCAACATAACCTTGGACAGTGAGAATCGAATGTAGTGTATTATTACTCCTACTTCAAAGATCTTTTCAGAATATCGAATGCGAGCCACAGCACTGTTTCCAATCAACAAGCTTTTTCTATGGAGTACGAAAAGTGTGGACAAAATACGGTCTAATGAGGCTTTCATATTTTCTTTTCGAGTAGACATACATGAATGCTTTATCGATGACAAATGACAAATGCAAAAGAGTCAAGTTGAAGCCTCAAATTGAGCCAAATAATGAAACTATGATATCTTTTCATATTACACACACACACACACAGACGCGCGCGCGCAGATGATTCTCGACGTAGTAACTTGTACATGTATACCTTTGCAATGGCACTGCCCTATTGAAACGTCTTACCGTGAATTCAACGCAGATGGAACAATTTATAATGTAACTATAAGATATCTACTTCATTGTTAATTTCATAGTCATTGAGCTTATCTCAACTAATCGTTTACATTTTCAATGAATACGGTGTAACTCACAATTGATCAATATAATGACATGTTGATTAGTATATTACAAAGTTTTCTAAGTAAAGAAATAATTGTAAGCATACATAATACGTAATACTTATACTATTATCGAAAATACTGGACGTTGACTCCAATCACATGTTTTCAATTGAGTCCGTGAGTTACAAAGAATTAAATTTACTGAGCTACGCAATCATCGAATCAATAATATTTTCGACATTATGTACGTGAGGACTCGATTTACAGACAAAATAAAAAAATCTGCCCGATAAAGATTATGCAGGATCCACTTTTGATAGAAGGAGACTTACGCCTATTTCTAATTCGTATTTGAAAATAGCTCTTTAAATTCAAGAAAACGATATTTTATCATTTGATCATCTTATTGAACACCACAAATCATTAGCATATTCTATAAATCATTTAGTTATTACTCAAATTGTAAATACACAATATTACTATATTAATATTTGTTGCTGGGTAAAATATCAATTTTTTAAAAGCTTTACAAATTAGAAATCCTTTCTTACATTACAATATTTTTGATAATTTTATAATTATAGTTTGTCTTGATAACCATTAACCATTAAACCTGTGTTTGATCCCATAAATAGTACTAAGAATCCAGATTTTAAATTTGGATACTTCAGTATGGAGATCTGGATAATGCTGATCTCCACATTTAGCTTTTAAATAATTAGCAGAGATCACTCCAATGAGGATGTTTTTGTGTCTAATAACAGAACCTCCGGAATCTCCCTAAATACAACATGAAAAAAATTTTTTTAAATAAGGCAGGATATATAGGTATAATAATGTTTCAAGAAACTATATGAAATGCAAAATTCTAGAAAGAATCATATTAAATTAAAAAAATCTTTTGACAAACATAAATGACAATCTCGCTACTCACTTTGCAAATGCCTGTATTTTTCTTGTTACTGTGAAAAGTGCATAATACTTTGTCGTTCACCTTAACTATATTCTCGTACAATCTAACGCATTTTGAACGTTCTAAAAGTTTAACTTTAGCTTTCCTTAATCTACTACTCGGTATTCTACATTCCTAGGAGAAAGCAAATGGATTATTAAGTATGTATCCGTTTTGTGTTCGGTTTTAAATAGTGCATAAGTGCTTTCGTTGATTTAGCCATAAAAATACACCGCGTAGACAAGAAAACGGCTTTGTTGAATAGTGTCCGATACTACAAGAATAAATCCGTCTGGATTAAGGAGCAGGAGAGAAAGTTGTTGATAATTTTCTTCGATCGAATAAATGTAAACAATTTTGCTAAATTTGAATTTCTTACCGCGCTTCAATGCATGTTCAACAAAATAAACTAGCGCTGCGGTGAAATATAGAAGATTGCTACTACAGTCGTGACATTATGCTCCGCGGGTTCATAAAAAAAGACCAACACCTGTCTCGCGAGAGCTACCCCGAATCTGCCGAATCCCTCTTCCGAAGTTTCTTTTATAGGACCGGATAACCTGGGCATGGCTTTTCCGAACCCTGCAAACTAGGTCGGCACTCGCTCCGCTTTCACTCTCTGTTTAATTGACGTTGAGTAAACCATAAGAATTTTTCACATGAAAACTACTATATATTACAACAAAAATGCTATAGAATTAGTCGAAGAGTCTCCTAGAATTATTTTAGAATTTTCTGATGCAATTTTGCAATTTTCGAATTCATGATTTTTAAAATCTAAAAACTTGGACCATTCTAACAAAAATTGACTGATTTCAAGATAATTTTATTCATAGGAAATTTCTACAAAAATCTATAGTTTTCAAAGAAAAAATTCGTAAAACTTCCAGAACAAATTTTCATATCGGCCGCCATTTTGTTTAACCAATAAATTTTCATGTTCGGGCAAACTTACTAATATTTATTTTAGACATCGTGACCGCGATGTAAAGAAGTTTTAAGTATATAAAAAATGTTGAAAAATCAAAAAGTCTATTTGAAAACCAAATTCAATCGAAAAACTAAGCTTCTTTTATTTATTTTTGATTTTTAGATGACAAAACATGTCAAACGATGATCAAACGATGTCGAGATTTTTAACTAACACCATTGAAAAGAGTATTCTTGAAAACATAGGAAATAGTAGTTCCTGAATTTTTTCCCGTTCAATTTCACTACGTGGTAATAATTTGAACTCAGCTCTCGAAAAAACGTCCTGTAAACGTTAATGGATTAAGCCGACTATTTAGTTTAGTTTTACTTTATTTCGTCTTTTATCTAATGATTTTATATTATTAATCTACAAAAAATACTAAAAACTTTTAAAATCTCAATACGTTATGATTCACTGTTATCCCTCAATTTAACGCCTTCAACACTTTCCTTCCTGCCCAATCGGTCTCGGAGCCCTGACGACTTCCCAATTCGCAACCTCGATTACGTGGATACGCATGAATACACCTATCTCGTATACATGTAGAGTTTCGGAGTTGGGCGCTTGCGACTTCTCTACGTTTTAGGTCCGGTCGGAAAACTCCGGGGTTTTCGCGGGACGATGAAGGCTCACCAGCCTATAGCGCAGTTTACGTATTTATGCCCGTAAAGGTTTTTATCGCTATACCTAAATATAATAAGTAGGAAGGTCGAGTGGTTGAGAACACACGCGAAAGAATTACAGCTATGGTGGCGTTACGTCCCGAACATTTCCGACCATAGTTTTGGATCCATTTGCCGAAAACTGGAAAATTTTGTTAGGAAATTCATGATATAGATCCGGCTAGATGCTCACATATTTATGATCGCGACAAGTCAAGAGGGAATTCGACCAAATACATGTCTCGCGGTTGTTTTGCGCTTGCCCGTTTGATTTTTCCGGTGTTTCCTAATTTTCAGTTCCGAACAAAATCTGCGATCCTAATTAAAGATTACTATTCATGTGCAAAAATAGAAAAAGTGCAATTTTAATCTTCTCACGGTTTTTTGAACACCCCAGCCAACGATATGAGCAGTTAAGTTATAGTATCCACTGTAGGGTACTGATGCAAGTACAGCCTTTTTTATGTCTTTATCCAATTGATAAGGGCTATTGAGCTATTTGAAAATGTTATAGATAATATATTATAATAAATTTGAATTGATATGGATCAAATATTAAAATGATTAATACTTTGATGATTGCAATATCGTTATTCCGAGGAAGTGGTTTATTATAATATGGATTTATAAATACTTTAGCTATTTTCCGTATATATTTATCTGTGATTTTAGATTTCAAATTTGCAACTCCAACAACTACGCGAATATTCTTGATATCCTTACTAAAAATGATAGATTTAGGTATCTAAAAGCCCTTATTTATCTGGCATCGTAATCTAAATGAATAATTACCCAGCAAAACAATGTGCAGCTGTCAGAATAAAATTGGGATGTATAAGGGTTCCTCCACAAAAATGTTCGTTATTTTTGGATATGTTTTGAAAAGAGGCCTAAAAATTAAATAAAACGGTTAATACTTTAGATTAGTTAGTGCATTACATATATGACTCATAAGTACTGCAAAAGGAAATTGATTCCATGCAGCGGTTGATCCGCCGACAATTGCCTCTACACTGGACATTCGTTCTGAAATAGAAAATATTTTTATTTTAGAAAAATATCAAGCGAAAATAATTTAATTTTCATACTTACCATTTTGAACTAAAAAAGTGAGTACTGAAATAACACTCGGTAGAATACTCATGTTGGTCAGTTGAAATTTAATAATCAGTTTCAATCAATAGTAATGTATTAGAATGACCTGAAACTCATATCTAGTTATATATATAGGGAATTTTAAGGAAATAATCTGGTGAAACATAAAATCTTCCACACAGATAGAACATTGATAATGAATAAAAGTACATATTACAACATCTTTGCTCATATATATCACAGTAAAAGATTATTGATACAACTATTGTCAATTTTTAGCATCTGAAACTTTAAAGTTCAGTGCTTAAGTAAGGAATTTCCAACAGTCTGAACTATCTTTCGTAACAGTTTCATCCGCACCTATTCCAGATAGCGTGCGGACAAATGTGAAAGGTTTTATTGTAGGCATAAACTACTGTGCACAATAATATAGCATGAATCAGCATGTATCAATTCATATGCTATGTACTGTGCACAATAATTTGAGTGTATAATAAAACTCTACGCACGCTTTTGAAATTCAAATTTATATCAATTGTATGTGATAAACTTCTAATGCTCAATTTTTCAGCTCAAGTGACCGGAAAAAATGTTTTAAGATATGGGTTTTTAGCTATTTTAATAGCTTAGGGTCACTGTGTGACGGATTTTTTTTCAAACTTTGCACAATTATTTTATATATAATCATCGTTTTCCTGAATTTTTATAGTAAAATATTAATTGGTTGAAAAGTTATTAACTATAAAAGAAAAATGATAAAAATGTTTCAGAAGGCTAGATATTAAAAACTGATAAAGATATAGGGATCAACTTTTTTTAAAATACGTTTAAAGCATCGTTACAAATAAATATTTGTAACGATAAACGATAATTTTTTTATTACAAAAAGGTATTAACTTTTTCCTTAAACAAAGTCAAATGTCTCAAAGAATAGTTTATTTTTTAAATTCTTTCTTTTACGTATTCCTGAGGATTTTTTCTATAAAAGACTGTTGCAAAATTCAAGTGCCCAACATAATAAATACGTGGCACCAATTAAAAGAAGACACTCTGCTGTCCGTACGATAGCTAGGCCCACTTAGTATTGTACAGCAAAGCCTCTTCTTTAAATCGATATTTTTTTTTTTTTTTTTGAGGAGAGTCTGAATCTATTTACGGACAACTGACGGAAGCCCGCCAAGTGTGGGACTTAGTAGCTTAGGCCACCAATACCCACCAAACATATCTCTCCTTGTTTCTGGGGAACAATTGTTTCAGAAAACATGGGGAGGTGGATTTATATCTCACCCAGTTTCTGACCGGATACGGATACTCCCGAAAGTACCTGCACAGAATAGGTAAGGTAACTTCCCCAGAAATATTTCATTTCAAAAAATACTGCTAAAATTTCCAAACGATTGATATGATTTTTACGATCTCGTCTGTTCTAGAATTTATGAATGTTTTCCTCATTGTAATAAGTATCTCAACCAGTGCCTGAGGTAACAGAAAAACATTTTGAAACAGAATTCGTAATCTTCGATTGGACTAACAATAGTTATGACTAATAATAGAATTTCTACGTAAGAAATCTTGTAAATAAGATTTTATTTTCATCTTTGTTTCAAATGAACTATGATTATTTTTGAGAGCTTTGATTTTCTCTCTCTCTCTCTCTCTCTCTCTCTCTCTCTCTCTCTCTCTCTCTTAATGTCTTTTATGTAGTTTTGCAATAATCAGCTAAAGTTCCTATGAAAGGTACAGAGTCTCATATTTTTGGTATTAAATTTTTAGCTTCGAAAATTTTACGTTTTTTCAATTAAAAATCTCTTCTTCCCATGAAATGTTTCATTTTCGTTCAGACATTATGGACTAAAAATCAAAGAAATCGATGTTGACACAAAGGCGTAAAAATAAGGAGTGAAGTTTCAAGCAAAATATGTGAAGATGGTTGTTATTTAATTTAATTTTTTGTTTTATCTTAAAAATTTATAGGCCCAGAAGGGATAAAGTAGGGCACTATCCGATGATCCTCGATAATCTCAAGAAAGAGGCTTTAAATTATAATTAACATAATTTACGAATTATTCCTTTTAAAGGAGCTGGAAATATTTTTGACTGATAACGTATATCAAGGCGATATTTTTTCTCGGAAACTATGCGTTGGAGAGAAAAACTAAAAACTAGAAACATTTCGAAATCTGCTGAGGTAGACGAAAAATATTTATATTGTAAACATTAATTTAGCAATAAATTATCGATAAAACCTTTCGTTTTATTATATTCTTGCAGCCGAATTTAAGAAATTATCTCACCTTTTCACTTGATTTTCGACCTATATAATTTATTAAACGACGTCATCAATGCTGCAACAACATCAATTCGAAACCTAAATAGAAAAAATCATTCATAAGTTTGATTACCGATCGTCGCCAAAAAGTTGTGATTTCGATAAGTAGGTATATTTATTATTTTTAAATTAATTATTATTTTAAATTTAGTTATACTCTTATACCTATTGGTATCAGTCAGGAAATCAGAAATTTTCCTTACATACCTGAATAGATCTGCTGAATCTAGGTTTTTCAGCTGAATTATCGTAGACTGTCGGTTTAATTGTTATTAATCATTTTTGATAATTGCTTGCAAAATTAATTCTATTTTTTTTCACAATATGCAATTTTGTTCCGATTCCTTAACAGAATTTGAACAAAAAACGTCCTCAGCAGTTGTTCTCTCTTCTTTTAATGTATATATATTATCAATAAAAACTATTTCCCGTTAGATTAAGCAACCGATTCGTGATCGACAAAGCTTTAAAAAATACTATAATTAGCATGACGTACGTATGCTGGTCCCGTTCTATGTGCGTCGTGTCAATTGTAGTGTTTTTTTAAAGCTCTATTAGTCACGAGTTATTCACGAACGGCCAGCCAAAAGCTCCTCAAACGTCAAACGTCGAGCCATGAGCCAGTCTCTGCATCAATCCCACGCCTATTCGGTAGCTCTCTCCATCTGAACTAATATTTTCGTAATATCTTCGTACTTGCAAATGCATCATACTATCCTAAAAACTAAATTGTTTTTTTAAGTTTTACTACATTTTTCAATCTTCTTGATTTTTCTTTAATAGGTCTTTGATTGATTAAAATTTCATTGATAATATTTATGAATCATGAGTATCAACTGCCAAAGTAATTATGAACTAATTTCAAATTATAGAATTTTTTAATCTAGTATATTTTAGAATGTCCATTTTCGCAAATAAATTTTTTGAATTATCTATGCGTAAAATGCAATATGAATAAAAACAAAAAATGAACACTAGAGGTCGCTAGTTAAAATAAGTAAGATATTTGGTATCATCATCACTCAAAATTTTTCTTTTGAAATAGTACATCATTCCAAGAGTGGGAACTGAAATCTTGCAACCTCTATCAAATTTGTATTCAACAAAGGTCCGAAGAAAAAGGAAAACAATTTCCATGAGTCGTTTCTCGTGAGCTCCGTATCGAAGTGGAAGAGTATCAAACGCAAGCAAACAAACTCTCAACAAGCTTTGCTGCGGCATAAACTTAACATTCAAGCTCTCTCAACTGGTGCGCTCTCTACGCGATCGACTTTGATTAGAGCGTCGCTCACCGTATACGAACGCACACCTAATGACGAGGGATCGGCGAGTGAACGAACACGAGCTTTAATCTAATAAGCTTCGAAAGCTGTCTGGGCCATGTTTACTCGAGAGGAACAGAGGGAGTTGATACGAGTGAAGCTTCTAATAAGTTTCGAGTGATATTGAAATGTTGTTCGACGAAAAAAAAAAAAATAACAATCTTGTTTCTATCGAGCGGCTCCTAAGGTAGTTAAATAATAGTTAGATGTCAAGGGAGTGGAAGCTTCAGGGTGTAGAACAGAACAATATACAATTATTCGAAATGGAACAATGCCGAAGTTTCTTGAAACATTTACAATGAAGATTTTTAACTAACATTTATAAGAAACACTTTTTATCAATAATGTCTCGTTACGTTGAGTATCACCAAAGTACGGGGTGAACTAATTAATGCTAAACTATGATTAAAACCACCAATTCGAGACGATTTCAATGTTACATGTAGGATATTTTTAATTTCCGTATGTGTTTTTTTTTTTGCGGACTCAAAAATATGCTAATCTCAAGGAACATTTAGCGTGCCTCTCTAGCAATAAACCTGATAATAGCACCATAAAAGTCCGACAAGAATTCGCAATTCCATCCGCTCAAATTCGCGGTCCACCCATATTACAGCTGAAAAAAAATCTCAAGCACAGCATTTCATTAAGAACCCAAAAGCGGTCGTCCGCTTAATCGGATATTCAAGAAGCGCGCGTCGACGGAAGCTTGCAAGCTGATTGTTTAAGAGCCGCCGAGCGATATTGTTACAGCTCTTGTTATCCCGTACCAGCCGGTGGCGCGCCTTTTTCCCCTTAATTCGCGTTTCCTTTTCTCCAGAAGGTCGAGATTCTTTACAACGATGCCCAACGCCGTTTATTTGATTGCGCCATATTTCTAGTGCACGGAAATTGAGGGAGATGAGGAACAGGAAAAAAATGTATCAACATTAAGGAAGTTTTGGTCGATTTCCATTAGGCTCTATGGTTATTGGGTATCAGGCTGTGGCTTAATGTGGATTTATAAATGGCTGCTATGATACAGATTAGATTTTTTTCCTTGCTTGTATGCTGATCATCATTGAATTGATATACATGTTATTTGAGGCCTATTATAGTTTGCAATAGCATAATCATTAGATTTCACGTCGAAAAATACAATGCAATTGATCGACGAAAACTCCGGCATTCATTGCTGACTGCATTTTTCAAACGAATCAATCAGCATTACAAATATCCTTGTCATTGATGATTGCCCGCAGCCGAAAATCCGCTGTACGCTCAAAAATCAATTATCAAACTATCGCTTGTAGCATGCACAGCAGCAAGCGATTGAAACACACAGCGTATATCCCTCGTCCGCGCACATAGCAATCATCAGTGCTAATCGACACTCAGCCAGGAGCGCAGTCGGCAACAGATACTCTCCTCTCTCGCACGACCCTCGAATCTCACAGCGAGCTAGGGTTGAGAGTGCACCTGACCCTATCTCTCCCCTTCCAACGCACGACGATAAGCGTAAAATCTAACGGACCACCGCCGCAGCAGCAGGAGCGTGTGCATCGTTTGGGGATGAGCCATTCGCCGGCGTGTGCTTTTGCCCGTGCTCACCCCTCGAGGGAAACCAGTTCTCGTGGTTTGTGTATGGAAATTTCGCCTAAGTGAAGAGGACTTGCCGTAAAAAGCTTTCTAAAAGAAATATCCATAGGTTTATTTTTTTTTCCTTTTAATTCGAGCATGGGAATTATTCGCGTCAAGTCGTGATGCAGGAATTAAACGTTGAACGTTTCGTTCCAGATCCGCCCGTCGGATCCATCAATATGGATTTGACGACTGGATCGTGCCGTAGACGTCGGAATCTCGATAAATTTATCGGAATTTGATATTTCACAATTATTCACGTCGAATGAATCGAGAATGACCCTTCCGCAGTGACTGACTCGTCTCGGTGCTTCCACCAAGATCCTTCTCGTTCCACCACGGCTGCACGAACGAACGACCGCGTTGTCGAATTTTCACGTTTCCACGAGGACCGTGGCGTGACTTTCACGAGTCCGCTCGCGCCGCTTTTTCGCACAAAAGCGCCTTGGCTTTTTTGCAATTGCAAGCTGTTGCCTTAACAAGTATTATAAAAATCCCTTTATTTCAAATAATATTTAATCAGCAAAATTTCAAATATTTTTTTGTCTCATTTTTATATTATTTTTCAATACTAGCACTTAATTAATTAATTAATTTAGAATTCAGAATCCCGATGCGGATATGATTTTTCAGTGCGCGCAGGCCATTTAAGACTGAATCAATGACATTCAAACAACTTTAGCTATCGTTTGGCATGAGTTGTAAGTATTTAATTCAAATTTATAAATAATATTTCGAATTATATAAATAATATTGTAAATCATATTATAATTAATTACAATAGTTAATATTATACAATATTCTGTCATTGCAGTTAACACTCTTCTCTCGTTAAAAGCGGATAATATAAAGTTCTAAATTTTTCATTCAAAATATTTTCCTTCCGCAATTATTCGCAGCATTCATCGACCATACGACAAAACAAAAGTTCCATCCAAAAAAAATTTCTCTAACAATAAAGCCACACGCTTGACAAAAAAATTGCATTCACATCTCACGGCAATATTCACTTCTACCACAACAACACAACCCTCGTAACAAAAAAGAAGTTCGACCCTCGGGGTAGAAAAAAAAACCTTCTATTCTCATCCGCGTAATTCCGTTGTAGGTGACGAAAAAAGAGGAAAATAAGAAGAAAAGAATGCTTAATTCTGTGCAGAAACGACGACAAAGGCATCGTAAAACAATCTCGCCGCCGACGACGACGGTCGTGGCGCGTTTAAAATTCAGCTCCCGGGGCAAGAAGAGAACAATTGCGCGATGTACGCAATCCCCACGTTATAACTCGCTTAAGCTCTCTCCATGCGCGAGCGCGAGAGCCGCGTTGCTTCCTGGACACCTGCAATTACAACGATCAAAGAGCGCGAGAAAGACTGTACGGCAGGGAGCTTTTGTGTTCTCCGCTGTGCTTTTAATTCCAGCTCAGGCTTTTTTCTTACTGCTGCGACTCGGCAGCTTTTCCTTTTTACAATTGAACAATTTCATGATGTTTGCCTGTCCGTCGGATAATTGATGCATCGGTTGATTCAATGAAGCTCTCCGATCGCTGACATTTCCGATTGAAATGACTAACGATTTCGAGTCACACAATGTCGTTCACAAAGCAACGAGATTCCATCCGCTCATTCTTCGTAGTCATCGAAAGGTTGGCTCTCGTTTGCAAGTGAAAAAGCAAGCCGCAGTGCCAATTTTCGCCACCTTCATTAACCCGTGCGGCTCTCCACACTCGGGTAGCTAGTTCGCAATTGCACCAGTCCTAATTACCTCTCTTTTGCGAATCTTCTCACATTGCTATACGTGTCCCTGGCAATTTCACTGTCTCCCTCTCTCTCTCTCTCTCTCTTTCTCGCTCGCGAGGGATTTCGCGTTTGTATCGCCCGAAGCAGCGAGCAGCAACACGCAGCCCTTATTTTCTGCTACTTAACGTTCCTTCGCGGCTTGTATCTCGAGAGCGGGGAAGAGGGTTTACGCACGTGTCGGATTAGAAGTAGCCGATCGATTTTACATAGCTGCTTCTGCCGGAGTTTGCAACGAGAGAGCGAGAGAGCACTTAATTAATTTATGACCAAGTAGAGCCGGAATTTAGCGGTTATTGCCAGATTGTATTCAACTTGTGAGTTAAGGAAACTTTGTGTATACTTGCATACGGCAGTTCGAGTTTGAGCAAGTTTAAATCTATTCGCTTTAAGTCTCACTTTTTCCACAGTGTCATTTTATGTTTCGTGGTATATTTTTTCTTTATCATATCGACAATAACTTTTTGATAAGTAACATATTAATATTATATTCTTTTATATTTTATTATATTATCCCCATCAGAATATCTACCATCAAAATATTAATTCAGAAATCTTATATAATGTATGAATCTTTCAGATGCGTCTATTATGTAGTATTAACTTTAGTACATTTTAGAAGATAATATAATAATATTCGACAGTCATCTCGTGACATAAGTAAGAATTACTCAATTCAAATACAAATATTCAATGCTTATTATATCTACTAGGTGTAATTCGATGTCTAAAAAACCGTGCGAAGGACTAACTAGTTCCTAGCAGTAGTCATTGTACGAGTATATTATCGTTACATCAAGAACTTCGTTCGACTAACCGCCCCATTACTTTTGGAAAACTGTAATACTGAATCAAGAGTTTATGGTAACACGTGCGTAGAGAAATGTAATCATATTAAAATGAAGCGTGATTCAAAGAAAATAGCCTGGTAACAATTAGAGATTGATCATCCATTCTTATAACCAGAAATGTTGAAAATTTGTATTGCTTAAAAAATATAAAATTATCAAAACGAGCCTAATAACATTCAAATCAATTCGTAAAATTAACAAGTTGGATGATCGCTTCGCATTGTTTTTAATTACGAATGATCCTACAAAAACGCGTGCGTCACCAGTGAGGCTTTCTCATATACGAAATGGAACTCTGTGATCTCACGAAGCATTTCTTTTCCTTTCCGTTATATTTGAAAAATTTCCCCATTACCGTTTCACGCATGAGTCTGCACGTAAGCACTTTGAAATAGCAAGAGAGCTGAAAATTCTTTTTGCATATCCGCCTGTTACGACCTCGAAATAAAACGTCAGACAATATTAATTTTACTTTACCGTATAAAAGTCGCATATTAAGATCCGAATTAAATACTACTTGTTGCCGCGCTATATTATAACAAGACGGTAGCCAATGCGTAGGTGCAGTTAGTAATTTTCCAAGGAGGATAATAGTACGTGCGTCGTCGTATAAGGCACTGTGACTTAACTTTATGTATTTCGATAAAAGGGACTCGTGGGTGATTTATTATTCATTCTATTGCTGCTTGAGCGCCCTCCGAGAGCTTCACTCCTGTAGCTTTTATGTTTCATTGCGCGGCAATAATTCATTTCGTTCTTTTTCACACCCAGATGGCTGTCTTATCTCTTTCTGAATCATCTCAAATATACTAAAGTAGTCTATGAAAGTTACAGTGTATTTCTATCTTTATTCGCAGCTAAACTGGCCAAAAAGTAACCGATAGTTTCTGTACATGGTAATCCATTGTGGTTTCTTCTGCAAATAAATATTTGATGCTCTTCTTAAAAATAAATATTTATTGAAAATTTTACTAAAAGCTGTTGTGACGGCTAGCCATAACTTAGTTTTTTTTATATTTAATTATTAAATATGACGAACGGAGTGGGAACCTTCCTGATTTCCCACGATGAAAACGCATTCGAAATATAAACTTTGATAGTGGCCCGAGCCTGCGTACTCAAGCTTACAATCAACGCTCTATCCTGCTTTGTCCCACACGTATGTGTTGACAGGGGCCTACGATCATCGCGTATACATCGTGAAGTGTTATCACGCCGATAATGGAAGGGGACCATAAAAATGCAATCTATCTTTTTTTTTCCCACCGATTTTTAAGAAAATATCCGTAATATTAAATAGATTTTCATCAATTTTGTAAGCCATTATAATGCGCACCTTTTTGTCACCGAATAACCAATAAATAGAACAATAATGTATTTTATAATAAATCGTAAAAGGTTTGAATTTTTCTGAATGTTCATAATAGTCACTATGTATCGTCATAATTAATTAAGTTTAGTACAATTATGTATAAGTAATTATAAGCTATAGCGTTACTCTTGCTCTTAAAAGTGGCACTCCGAGAGCCATCTCTGGAGAAAAGGGCCCAAGTTAAAAAGGGACCGCCCTTTCTCTCTCTGAAAATTCACGCCCACAGACCAATAAAGAAATTCTGGATATGATTAGAAAATTTCCGACCAATACAAAATTTAGCCGTTATCGCTTCATGGGCCTGAGGAAAGGGATTTCCACCCAACCACCCACGGCTTATAAAAAGCTCTGTACAAGGCTGGAGAGGAAGTTAAGTGAAGTTAAGTTCAGTTCAGTCAGTTAAGTTAGAGGAAGTCAAGTTCAGATAGAGTAAGTGCGGAGTGAGCACCAGGAAGTCCGTAATAAGAAGTTTTTACTAGTGAGCGAGTCCCGGAGCAAGCATCAAATCACCCAACTATATTCAGAACATATAGAGAGAGAAAGAGGCCAAAGAGCAGAGAGAGAACGCAACATTAATAATAACTAAATTGATAAAATAAAAGTAAGTAAAATCTTAAACCTGGCTATCCTTTTCTTTCTTTAAGTAATCCGCCTTTCTTTTGGAAATTCATTAAGCGTGAGTCTGGTGAATTTCCATTAAAGTCCCTTAAGAACACATTAAGCGTGAGTCTGGTGTGTTCGTAATAACATTTGGTTATTACATTCCCCGTTAGCATACAGTTTTCTCGACGCAACAATATTGCTCGTCCCGGCTTGTGTGTTACACGATAGCCAAATCAGAGCAACCCTGAGTTTACGCTTGCTCCAAGCGTACCTGAGAGTGACCCCGACGTCACACTGTCTACACAACATTATGCTAAAGTTTATAATCATATGTACAAGCTATTACTTGACAATTACAAGAAAAACTTTTGCAAAATTATGCAAAGTACATTACTTTGATAAAAAATTATTCGTATCGTAGCAAAGAAAAAGAATTATCAATTATATCTTATACTGTTTCTGGGAAATACGCACTTTAAAAAAAACAAAACTGATTTTTCTCCGCGCATGAGTATTATAAATAATTATCGCTTATATGTCATGTACGTACATATCGCGTTTTACAAGCAATTAACGGTACATATATAAACACCGAACCTAACTTGGAACTTCTTTCTTTTCCTTAATGTATGTCCAAGTAGAAAAGGATAATAGAGGAATAATATCAGGGCCATGTTCAACAAGAATTCAAGCAACATTTTTATATATAAATAAAAAGTAGTATATATAATTCGTACAATGAAAAAATATCCTTACAAACAATTCATCGATATCATAATCCAATAACGTCGTCGTGTTGTGACAGTTATTAGGGCGTGTGTGCTCAAAAGACACGTACATTGATTCGATTCCCAGTCGAATGTCGCGTCGTTGGGAATGCCTTGGATGATCGACCGCGCAAGATCGAAAGAAAAGAGCAATAAGTTAGATTTTAGTGCGTCTTTAGTTGAAAGGAAAGGAGAAAAAATAGGAACACGATAGAGAGTATTGGGTAATCGATGAGAGGTAACGCGATTGCTTATTTCAACTTTACATCGCCTTTCTTTTGATTCACAAGTAAATATGAAAAAAAACGAGTAGAAAGTGTACATACAACGTCGAGCGATGGCTAATGAAGATGATAAAAAAAGAGTGAAAGAGGGTAAGGAATAAAAAAGGGGAGGGCGGGTTATGATTACAATAATACATAGTTAATAATGGATTCTGTTCGTCGACGAACAATAAATACAAATGTAAAGATACATTTAATCGTAAGTACAGACCGACAAAGCATAACCACTTCGAGGTTTAAACCCCAATAGTCAACCTCGATCGAAAAGGGGTCTGGGTCGGACAATACCTAGTTTTGTTTTCTTCTTACAAAGGCTTAAATCGATAGAAAGTCAAGTGTTGCAATCATCGTCGAACAATAAAGTCGAAAGTAAAACAAAGAGAAAAATATAGATTTGTTGATATGTATATATGTGCGAGTGATATTAGGGTTCTACATATTTTTTTTATTGCTCGAGGAGCAACGAGCGAGTTCTTTTCTTCATTATTCCGCGCGCACGCGCAATATATTATATATATATATACATATACATGTAACACACGAGACAGAAAGAGTGCTCCTCGAGCCTCTCTTTTGCCTCTGCCTCTCCCGACACAAAATCATCATATATAATTAATAATAATAATAATAATAATAATAATAATAATAATAATAATAATAATAATAATAATAATAATATGTACACGGCAGCCGCCGCCTCGAAATGACTAGCGAGCGCCCGCGCGCACTCGAGAGAGAGAGACACACACATTATTGGATACAGAGGCAAAAGAGAGATGATTCTTTTTACTTTTTCCAATAATCAGAGGTGCCTCGATGTATCACCTCTCCATTACTTGTAAGATTCTTTAGTCAAAGAAACAGAATGAAAAACCTGTCAATTAGCGACCTTTACGAGTTCGGGATTGTCAGTAATAAAAGCTGGATGAGCGAAGCTCAAACTGATGCCAACGTTCTTTCGGTCGATAGCGCGTACGCGTACGAATAAGAATGCTGCAACAAGTGACGCTACGATAATCACAAGTAGAAGCATAACCAAGCCACCGACGAAACCTGGCAGCGACATACAAATCGTTTCGGAATCGTTCGTTGCTGCGTCTTGTATTACGACGGTCGTATCGTTGTCGGTACTTTGAGTACCCAATGCGAAGTTTACGTCTCCCGGGGCAACTACTTGAATGATTCGTGAGGTGTTGACGTCCGTCATCTCTTGTGCGGCGCGTTTGTATACATGCGAAGTCACGAACGCCACCGTGTGGAAGAGGTCCTGAAAATGATAGATAATCACTATTATTTCATATCATGGTAGTTTCGACTTTTATTGACACTCATTGTGACAATAGTAAATTGAATAACTTCTAAATAAATAAAATATCTGGACAATCTGTGACAAGTTTTTAAAGTATATCTTAAAAATAAATATATTTTAAAGATTTTACCTTTAAAATATATGTTAAAAATAATTAAAAAATGCTAAAAAAGTATTTAAAAAATCTTTGAAAGGTCTTTTGTACAGTTACAATCCCACTTTGGAAAGAAAAAATTTCGCCAAAGAGCCAACAAGCAAGTGATCTAATCGCATCGTCTGTAAAGAAATCGATATCCTCTTTCTAGCCGCAAGCGATGTTCTATACACAACACACATCGAATATACGTATAGCCTACTAACCTCGTTATCATCTCCGTCAGAATTGATGACGTTCCTTCGCCTCCTGGCACCACGAAGTTCCGCAGGCAGTCCTTCAACGGACCTCGGCCTTCCACCGAGTTTAGCAAGATTATTTTCAAGCTCGTCGCCACCTACTGTACCCTTCCTCTTGACCGTCTGGTATGCCGCTGCAGGATGTCCGGGTAATGGTGGCGGTGGCAAGTGAATGCTATCTTGCTGCTGCTGTTGCTGCTGCTGCTGCTGCTGCTGCTGCTGCTGCTGTTGGGTTTGTGGCGCCGCTTGTGGGGCACTGCTACTTGCCGTCGCGTCGTTATTGTTCGTCGACGTCGAGCTTGGTGACGACGAGGATGTTTGCGCTTGAGGAGCTGGTACTATGTCGGGACTTGGCTCACTGCGAGAAAACGTCAAAATAACAAAGTAATTCTTCCACTTCCTGAAATAATTGACTTTACTCGTAAACGCGATATTACCTGTAGGCACCAGCGGGTCCGCTAGGATGACGTGGGTCAGCATAACCAGGAGGAATTCCGTATTCTGGCACTGGTGGAGCTCCATATTCGGCAGAAAGTCCTGGATGAACGGGAGCTCCGTACTCAGAAGCAATCGAGTTAGATGGGGCACCATAACCTTCAAGGCCGGGATGTCTGCAATTAGGTTCGGGACAGTTGTATCTGCAGACTTGAATGACGCACTGGAAGTGCACGTTCATACTGTCGGGGAACTTGAACGCTTGGAAGTAAGCGAAGCTTACTACCGAAGCACTTGGCCCGAAGTTCTTGATCTTCTGGAATCTATATAACGGTTGTATTAATAAGCAAATTAACGACGACTTAAGCAAACTTTCCATTTATATGTATGGTTACCTCGACATAATCTTAGGCCTGACAACGCAACCAACATGATCAACTAGCTGAATAGGTGCCCTCTTGCCGTCATGAGCAACACAATTCCTCACAAGCATATCAAACTTATTCTCGTCATCCTTGATAGCCAGGACCATCGTCATAGTCTGTCCAATCTTCACGATGCCGGACACTTCGGAGGCCCACGGTCCTTTGCCAACTTGAATCTGCATCCAGCATTGCAGATTGTCACCAAGGAAGTTAGCCGTAACAGCGTGCAGCATGTCAACTTGGAACGGCCTAAATGTTACTGCTTTCTCGTAGAAATCGTACCACGTGCACCTCAATTTTCTCGCCTGATCCCAGACTTCTTGCACGTACGAGTCGTATTGAATGATGATTGTGTTCTCGACGTAACTACCCGAAGGCGTTGGTGCGCCGTATTGCGCGACATTGTGATTTGCCGAGGACGACATACCACACGAGTTCAGGAAAATTTCGAATGTGGCACTCAAGTGACCGGTTCCAGGTTTCAAGTGTACGCAGTGAGGATCCGAGTAGAATCCTTTGCTGAAGATCATTCCGTAGAACGGACGATCGAATTCGATATTGACTCGCATGTGAGTTTTCTCGCATTGCACTTGCAAGTGCTTGATTTGCGGAGTGTCCGGTGATGCCAAAGGCCAGTTTTCCTCTGCACCGCCGCCGTGACCGCCGCCCGGTGGTCCGTATTGAGCCGGTGGTCCGTATACCGAGCGATGCTCCAGCGGCAGTGCGCTGCTGTCGAGCGGAGCTTCGCCATTTGTGCTCTGCGAAAATACAAAGAGAATACTGTTAGATCGTAAGTGCACACAACTTAATACACGTATTAATAAACGTATTAATGAAGCCCGATAAGTATTCCAAGTTCATACTCGGAGATCAATCAGTCAGTCAAATTATTAAGTCATACGAGTATTACGACACTGTAGACAGTTATAAGACGCGCACGAAAACGGCGGCGTAACAGCGCGACGAGCAATTAAGCTCCGTGACATGTCAGCACGGGAAGAACGAGCTGCCTGAAAAAAAAAGCAAAACAAAACGGGTCCTCCCAAAAACACAAGCACCAAGAAAAAGAAGAAGAAGAAGAAGAAGAAGAAGTAACGGAGCTGCAAGATGCTCGCGCTGGCCGTGCGCACGAGGTGACGTTATCATTTTCAAGGAAAACAATGCACGCGCACCGGTTCCACGGTGACTAGGAGAGACAAGTGTCGGTACTCGCACGCACGGAACGAAGACAAACGGGTAGCCGCGTCGAGCGCGCGTGCGACGTCTGATCTTTCCATTAGTTTGTCGTTGCGTCTCGTACGGCTTGTTCTCTCGTCAATGTTATCGCACTTTGCGCCGACAGCTTGTCTGCAGTCGCCTGACCGTCGTTTCCATTTACGAAAGATTCGTAAACGAATAAATCGACGCGGGCCCGAAATATTCTTGAGCAGCCACCAAGCCCAACGAGACAAGCGTACAACAAGCGAGTCTCGCCAGCGACGTCTCGTCCGATAATGGACGGCAAAATTTACGTCCCTCGACAGTTCGTTTTGTGGGAGTTTTTGTCCGTTTGGCAAACGGCACCGTTCTCTGTCTCGGTCGCGACGTAGCCCGAAGGCTCGCGATGTGTGGTGCGGCCGCTTTCTGGGTTACCGGGCACGTGCGCGCTTGGCTTTACGGTCATCGAAAGGTGGATACATACCTGCGAGAGAGGAAAGAGAAACTTGGAAGAAAGGAGTGATTGCCGTAATTGCCAAGCGTTTCGAGGAAATTTTAACATTGAGAAATTGCGCCGCCCGATCTACGCGAGAGAGGATGTTATACATCTGTGATGTACTTTCATTTGCTCGTTCAATAATCGAAACGACGTATCATAATTGGTTTGAGAAATTGTTGCGCGATAATACCGGAATATAGGTCGGCACGTATACCTGTTAACGATAGGCGTTGATGGATTTAATTATCAAAAGCAGTTGATCATTTCAAAGCATAATCCAATCAACTATTCTTTTCTTCCAAAGCTACACTCTGACGAGCGCGTAGCTATATCTACGTAAGGGATCATCCTAACAGTATAAACGCGTGTCGCTGACCCTCACGAGTGACATAACAGCTCAAGCTCAATAAAATACAAAGCCTGACTGTACACTGCAGGTGTTGCATTACAGGAAGTCAGGAGAGCGAGAGAGAGAGAGAAGAGACCTTGGCACGTGCACTTGGTTCTTCGCTCGAGCTACTTCGCTTTCGGCGAATTCGGCGCAACTTGGAATGCCGCTCGAGAATGTCGGACTGATGTGTGCGTGAGAGAGAGAATCTTGCTTTCCGTTATGGTATTTTCGACTAAGTATGATGCGTTTTTCAAAAGGATTCGCGTGTGCCTCATGCGGGAATTGCTGAAAAAATTGCTGGAATTATGTGGGAAGGATATTGTAGATCGGCTTATGAAAATTAATATCATTTGGTATCGATCATTTCAATATCGACTCTAATGTGAAATACATTTTAGTACCTCGTTTGATCTCCGTTCAATAGATCGAAGAAGAAATGAGAGGGGGAAAAAGACCCGCAGTCCAACTACACATACAAAGGCATCGCGAACAATTCGAGCTTGAATGGCTTTCAACGCCAAGTAGGGAATCCCGCGGCAACTCCTCCCTAGGGTATATATCACGTTCGAAATTTCGATAAGATCTCTCCATCGCTGAAGAGAAAAGTCACCGCAAGCGAATGAAAAAAAAAGTAGAGCAATGTTAGGCGTGTGCGTGGGGAAAATGTCGTTCGCCTTGATTTTTCATCGTATACGGAAGAAGGTATCCTCCTCTTTTCCGCGCGCGCCGCTTTAATTAAGGTCTTATATTATGTGCACGTTGCAGAGAGAGAAGGAGAGCTAAGCCCCGTGAGAATCAGGCTCTTCGGGAATTGTAATATATGATAGTACACGTGTTTCTTCTTCCTCGATTTTCCAGGTTAATTTTTAATTGGTTGCGTTCCTTTGCATAATCGGCTCGTCCGAAATGTACTCGCGTGTGTAACGATCGACTTTCGCACGACGAAGAATAACTATTCGACGCGTTTTTTCGTCTCGTACTGTAACTTTCTATTGATCGCTAAAACTAATTGGCAAATTATACCCTCATTTCGACTGCCAATCTCTAAAGCAGCGCTTTGTCAAGTACGCCGAGAAGACAAGCCGATTCATTAATTCGGAATGCGCGAAATTCCAACCGTAGAACCGATCAGAACAATGTGCTCGAAGGGAAAACAATGGTAATACGTCATCGTCGGCAATTCATTAATTAGTCAGCTCTCGGTTCTTCGTTTTGTTTTTATTGACCGCTAGCTGTGCCTTAATTGGGCGGCCTCGCGTGATCTCGGCCGTGCGAAAAAGAAAGTCCGGCAGCTGCCGCTGCATTTCGGCACTCTCGATTTTGTTACCGCCGCGCCTAAGCAGCTGTGACTTTGCGGTTAGACCGTGAACAAAATGTTGTCGAAGAGATGGTCGTTTTATCGTTTGCTGTTGGAAATTATAGTGATTGTCGCTTGTCTGCGGCTGGTCTGGATCTATATCTCTCGAGACGAAGAAAGAAGTGTTGTGTCGAATGAAACGGTACTTTTCGTGGAAACGTGTACTTTTAACGCCATTGAAACGTCAAGGAGAGTGAGAAGCGAGTACGTATATCAGCTCGAGTGAATCCGATGGACAGAGAAGGAACGGATCATAGCTGTGGAGCGACGCCTTTTGCGGTGATTGAAAAGTTATTTTAATTGGCGACAGGTAAAGCTCAAGAGAGAGAGAGAAGCTAGTGAGCTTTCTAACGGCGATTACGTTTGCTCCAAATGTGTCGTCGGCAGAAATCACGACGGGGTGTGGCGTTTCTTTGCCTCCTCTTCTTGGTTGTTTACGAAAATACGGAGGTTTTGATTCATAAACATGTTTTATAACATTTCATTATATTTGGAATTTTTTCCTTTCTCTCCTTATAGCGATCGCTACACCTGAACCTTCCTCGCTAAAGCTTTTCGAAGCGGCCCCTCGAAAGACAAAATCTGTCCGAGCCAAGGCACAGCCAAGAGATGCCGAAAGGTTGACAAACTGACTCTTCCAAAATCCCGATTATCTGAAAAGCAAACGACAGTTTCCTCCGAAAAACGGGTATACGAGATGATTGGTCGCGCTAACGCGTTTACGCGTGAGCCGCGATATACCGAGGTACGTATCCCAAGAAAGAAAGCGGTGTAAAGAAAAAGCAGTCCGATTGAGAAAGGGGCCGGAGCAAAAGGTGCGCGCGGAGAACCAGGCAGGCAGCGAGCAAACGCGTCCGGCGCAGTGACCTACTATCGACGCTCCGCCGGCCGTGTGTGGCGCGTAAGTATATTGCAACCTGCAGCGAGCTCTTCTTTCTCTTTCTCGATGGGTATGCGCCCGCGTCCTTGCACTCCCCCCTCCATCTCTATTTTTCGCGCAGGGTGTCACCGATTCCTCATAGAACTTCCGGCTACGTATCGAATCGATTATACGTCAGAAGTATTTATTATTTTTTTTTTTTTTCATTCTGCGGAGTATGGGCTATAATAATAAGATACACTAGCAATTTAGTTGCGCGTGATGAGCAACGTTGAAATATATTTTCGAGCGAGAGACGAATAATGAATACCAGACTCGATAAGTGGAATAACACTATTTTAATCGTATACTTTCATCGGTTTTCTTACTCTTCTTCTTATTCTTCTTTTTAACGGCATGTGCGTTTCTTTTGCCACGTGTTTATTCAAAGCGATAGGAAAACATCGTTTCCCTCTCTTATTTTCAGGTCGGCAGATGTCAACAGCCAATGAGTTGTCCATCTTTTTTATGCATCGGTCTACGCGCATCAACTTAATAGACTTCTGTTTGTTTTGTCATCGTCGTCGCGCTTCGTCGATTATTCGCTCAATGACTCGTAGCCAGCGAACGCGATTTGCGCGGAACTCGGCATTAAGTTATTTTCGCCACGCAGCGTTACAGGTTAATAAGCCGCGATTTTTATGGATGTTTAATTGTTTTCAATTAGGAAGTCAACGATACGCGACCAGTGCAATTAGTTTTTTCTTCTTCTTCTCTCTCCGGTTAATTAGCGGTACTTTTTTTCGCAGGTAAAGAAGAGGGACGAACCATCACTTTTTTAGCATATCCATATCGTCACATAACAGTTCTGTTAAGCACTCTTTTTAAGCGTTTTTTTATTCGTTTGTTAGTCACGTTATGAAAACCAACACAGTTTCACAATTTTTTTGTTACTCACTGCCAACAAAAACAACGGCAGCAGTAATGACAGGGCTGTTGTCCGTATACTCCTCCGCGTCCTATCCATCGTTTGTGATTATCGTTCCTTTCTGTAATTCAGAAATTAAGACAAATTATACAAAAAGACTGTTACCAAAAAGTAAACAAAATTAATGATTAAAAATGCCAATGTAATCCTTAGTTCCTCGTTCGTTTTAATGTTAACGGCTAATAAAATGATACGGTCAAAGAAGCCAGGAAGAAGGAAAAAAGAATTCTTAATCGAACGTTTTAAAGATCGCAATTGTGGAGCAACTGGCATATAGTTCAGTGAACTTTACATGTACGCGCGCGCAAATGTGCGTTAAACACGGAAACGCACATACGATCTACGCTACTAACTGAAAGCCAAACGACTGGAACCGAAGACTAGCTCGCAAGGTTACAGTTTGCCACTCTACGACCGATTTGAAATGGAAAAAAAAATTACATCACTGATTCTACAACCACAAGAGAAGATTCACTTTGTCCAAACACAACAAACACACTCTTGCTTACATCGTATATCGCCGTAAAAATAATCCACTATCGAAGACTTCACCTTGTAGAAGATAAAAGACGAAGAAGAAATAGAAGAAGAAAGGAAGAGGAAAGAGAGAGAGAAAAGAAAGGGGAAGTTCGTCAGCGGCGCTTCATGAGTGCGAAGAAAGAATGAAAAAAATCGACTGTGCAGAGGCGCGACGAAAAGGCCCTCTTTGAGTGAGAGGAAAAAGACCGACTGGGCCCAAAGACGGAGACTGACTGAACGCGAGCAACACCGAACTCCCGACGCAACCAGCCGTCCCACTGACCTACTCTCTCTCCGACTTCTGTGTGTGCTCTCCTCTCTCCCACCATGCAGGACCCCGCACTCGAATGTATGTGTGTGCTCGTGCGCGTGTATGTATGTATGGAGACGCGCATTTTTTTTTATTTTTTTTTCGAGAAAAATCCTCTATTACTTATTTTACACTGCGCACTGAAATTTCAATGTTCGTTCGCTTGTCACGAGGACTATATTTAATCATAAGTATCTGGCATATCGAGAAAACGCAAAACAATGATACATTACGATAAAAACGCGAAATTTCACCGGAAGCACAAGGCGAATGAATAACGTCAAGCTACGTCCTGAGCCTACGGGCACTTCGACTTGCGCGCGTGGAACAGGTGAAAGATATATATATACTATAGGGACGACACAGAAAGAGAAAGGCCCTTACGCGCCTCAACGAAAGTAATCATACCGCTCTGCGTGTTATTTCGGATGTCGCTTGTTCGTTCACACTCGTTTAAATAGATAGCATGTTTTATTCATTAGAACGCTAGATATTTTGAATGATAGCCAATTACGCAACTAAGAGGAAAAACTCCTCAGGCAGGATAGAAATGGAGGAATTCAATTGGATCCGAAGAAGGATCAAGAAAAATCGTGTCGCTAACGGATCGCATTACTCATAGATGACTTTCTCTCATGTTGAAAACATGAACATTAAACTACACGCCAAAAATTCAGGCTACACACGGAAAGAAGAGAAAAAAAGAGAGCGACGCGCGGCGCTTTTGCATAACGCGATAACCCAGATTTTCCACCCGCAGGTACGTATAACGAGTCGCGCATCCGGAAACGATAGGGCGACAATCTTCCTTTCGCTTTCGCCATGATTCCTTGTGAATTACACGAGTTACGCAATTTTTTTTTTGGATTTAAGATCAGACTACTAGCCACCGAAGAGGTTTAAGCTGGATCATCAACCGGAATCGCTGCGGCAGATTGTGCACTGAATGTAAGGGCAGCGCGCGGGATATTTAAAAAATCGACGACACGCTGCGCTGCTTATTTATCTTTTGTGCGAGAAATTGCGACAAAGTGATATTAATATATTAAAAATAAGTGTGAAAAATGTCGTGATTTTATTTTGTAGATTATTTACGTTAATGATTTGAATAAATATCTGATTAAGATAAAACAACATTAGTTAAGTTCATAATTATCCATATAATAAACCGTCGCAAAGAGCAGCCGGAAAATGATACTATCATTAAATGTTGATCAGAACAAAAGAACTAGGTATCTACCATTAAAAAGCCATTAATTCCAAAATGCAAATCACTAAACGAACCTTTTTTTTTGTGTCTAACAAAAATTCGGCTTAGAAAGCGAAACCAATAACGACGAATTTGTCAACCTTGCGTCTCGAAAATTTCAATTTCTCCGTCGAAGTCAAATCGCTTTGAAACGCAAGAAGTAAAAAAGCCGAACCAACCATAGCAACGAAAGCATTCCTAAATGGAAAGCAAAGACCACGAAAAAAGGGAAGCGTTCAAGCGTCGGCGGACCGCGGAAATGTAGGTCGGTCGTACAGAAGAACGATCACTTTTCCATCGCGCTCACTTTAAACTACATCACGCGTGCCTACGAAACGGCAAGGTCGAGGTGTAAGGCGGTGCGTGAAAAGCAAGTCACATCTAAACTGAAATACGGTGAAAGCCTATACGCACGCGGCACCCAAAAACCCAAATTCGACACTTTCACACGGGCACGCACAGCATCCGCGTGACGAGATTTTCTTTAACGGCCGGCTGATGGATTCGTTGCAGGTGTCGGGTGACGGATTATTCATCGCGCATGCGAGCTACTACGCTGTAATTGAAAGAGTATATTCGTCAACGGGTTTCCAATAGTAGTCGTGTGTTCTATTCGTGAGCAGCGGTAAATTCGCGATAAAAAAAAGAAGCAGAGAAGTGTGCTGCGACGACACACATTCAAATTATCGACAGTCGAAATTCGTGCTTTTGGAGCTTCAAGTGTGGTGTCAGAGTCATTAAGCGCGTGTAGAGGTTGAATAATTTGTCAGAGGGACGTTTGACGAGCGCGTGACTGTTAAAGAGGGAGAGCACGCGACAATCTAAAAGAGACTCTTGACATGTCACGAGGTGTGAAGGGAATCTTTAAGTAGTTTTTTTGATCGTACAATATTTACGCTTGAGAACGAATTCATGATGAATTTTTCGATGAGATTAAATGGAAGGAAAAATTTGTCATATTTTTTGTTCTCGTTGATGAATACGTGAAGGAGATAACAACAATATTAAATTGGTGAATTTTTGCGTTTATAAATAGTTTGTAATCATCTTGTGCATTATAATCATTACCCCTCATAAAACAATTGAATAAACTAATCAAGTTATTTATGATTTTACATTTTCACAGATTAACACATTAATTAGGATTTCCTAAAATTATAATTCAGTAATTTTTCGCGGAATATACACGTACTCGAATTCATACACGTCTCTTTACAAGCAATGATCTTCCCATTCAGAAAACTACTAATACAGAAAACTACTAACGCAGCTATCAATCTCTCGAACTTGTCGTCTCACGTACGCATTTTCCCATCTAAAGGAGAATCAAGCCTAAACCGTCAAGTTAATAATTATCCAAACGAAAAGAAAAAATAATGATTTATCACAGGTACAACCCAAATATATAAACTAGCGCTTCATTCGCACCTGCAAATCCATCCAGCAGCGAAACACTTGCTGGCAGCCAATAAACCTCACACGTCGCGCCATTCATGCATAATCCCGTCGCGAAAGTCCGGCGTAAAACGGTCTCGTTCGAAAGGAGATCGCAAACGCCAAATTACATAGCACGCGAGCAGTACACACTCACTGCTCTCTCTCTCTCTCCCTTCCTCGAAGTTTTTCCAAGCGCGAGGGCATTGTAAAATTGGAACGCAGAGGTTACAAGCGCCGCGTTTTACGCGACGATGCAATTCCTTTCGGAGAGGATGTGGCCACGAGCGTGGCTCGCGTACATCTCATTGCCCCACGAGGGGTACGTAAGAGAGCGCTTTGATCGCGTGCCGTGGGCAAGCGCTGCTATCAAGGCTCCTAAATACACCCACTTTATAAAGCATGTCGCGCGTACTCGAGCAGCAAGAAAGTCGTCGAAGGTTCGGTGCGTTTGCCGAGGCGTGCGCGTCTAATTGACGATCATCCGAACGACACTGCACCATTGGCATCCTAGAGGAAGCGCGTTATCGCGGGACGAAAAGAAAATGAGAATGGGATTCCCCATCATTACGTTGGCATTCCAAAGAGACTCGGTCTACGGCCGTTTCTACCTTACACGGCGAAAAATCGCGGGCAGGAAATCGGTATCGCGTCGCGCCTGGAGGTTGCCGCGCGGCTATTTGACGGCTCGCGTGCCACATATGTATAGCTTGCAATTAGGCACAGGACAATCATTGTCGCGATTACATCCTGCTGGAAAGTGATCGGAGTAATTAATGAACTAGGTCGAAATATATCTCTGAGCCTTGCCTTTTTCTGTTATTTTTTTTATAAGCCTTTACCGTTTCATACGTGCATGTGTCATTTTTATCTACTCGTGAAATTTCGATCGTCATTTCTTTTTTCGGCTATCCAGTTTTTAAATGATCAGCGGAAATACGAATTCAATGATCACTCGATATTTCTATGAAAATTCGTGTATCACAATTTTAGCAATACCTTACGCTATAATAAGTACAATCATATTAGATATATCTCGTGGTTATTCAGAGAATTCAAGTGTACTTCTTCATCGATCTTCACAGTAAAATTACCAACTAAAGTAATATGTATTTAAGATATAAAACGTTTCGAAAATTATTTGTACATATCAGATCACTTTGAACTTTTACTTTTTTTCTCTGTCGCTCTCTCTTTCTTTCCCTCCCTCTCTCATTCCCTTATCAATACACGCATTTGACTTTCTGACCCACAAAGCGAAAAATATCCATTTAAAATAAGAAAATACAGCGAACGATTCCAGCAGGCGGTGCCTCTTTGGGAGAAAGTCGCGGAAAGGAAAAAGACTTGTATACCTATAATTGGAACAGCAGTGCATAATAATTTCTCGGAAAATCGTGTTAAAGGGAGTTGTGCGCTTATCGAACCTGTCTCATGTGTGTGAGAAACCCATAATTTTTCCGCGGTGCTTTCGAGAAAAAGATAGAGGTCACAATTAATAACCTCCCCACCCACTTGGAATTTTGGATACGGAATTCATTGATTGATGGCTTTGTGGAATGGAAGGTTTTTTTCAGGGGCAAGGGTCACAGATCGTTTGATAAGGTGTGAATATTTTTTCGGGAGGTCGTATTGGAATTTTCGTGAAAGGAGGTATGCAATAATGATGTATTTTGATGATCCTGTTTTCTCTTTTAAAGAGCGCTTTTCTTCCGTATTTTATGGGAATGATATCTGGAATTTTAATCAGGCCAAATGTACTTTATTTTCATGCAGTAATGGAGATTTTGAGGCGACTTTATGACTTGACTCGTTGAGAATTTCTTTTACACGCAGTAGATACGATAAAATAATAGAAACTAATTTCTTATGTAACTTTATTGCTCTAACGAACTAATTAAGAAGACATTCTTGCGGTAGACAATTTTACTCATTAGAAAGACATTTGATCCCTTCGCGTGAGTTCGTAATTCATAAACCACCCTAATATAAGTATCCATCCAACAACGCAATAAAATCATATCTTCTCTCGACCATCTTCGCACAACAAAGGAAAAACTTAAAAACTCTCCCCCACCCGATATTAAATATTACGGCTGCTTTTACTTTCACTCGCTAAAAAAAACTCACCTCGGACAACAAAGAAATAAGACGCGAAACATTAAAAGGAAAAAAGTCGCCGAGCAAAAGCGCTACTTTCTTCATCTTCGTGTGCATATATATATATATATATATATATATATATATATATATATATATACACATATATGTATATGTGCCACCACGGAAGTGAGATATCGGATAACTAGCAGCTCACTTTCTTAGCGGACCCTTCGCAAAGGCGGCAGGTGCCGCCCGTGACGCAAGCAACTCGCGGTACCGTTATACCGATGAAACCATGCGCTCGCGAGGGACTCTCGAAAATGAGCGTCGTGCGTGTCTTTTTTTTCATGCGTCGGCTTGTTTTTCGAGCAAAAGTACCGTATGAAAAATGCAAGGTGCAACGCGGCGATGTTACGCCATTGTAAGCGCGTCCGTGGTTTGCGCAATTTTTAACGAAAGGGAGACAGAGGAACCATGTGTCCGGTCGCTTATGGCTTCGCTTCTTTGTTTGAGCGGATCACTGATTTCTTTTTTTTGTCGTTGTCGTTGGCGTTATGTTCATGGCAAGAGCTTAATGTGTCAGAGAATCCCTATGACTTATTGATAACGTCAAATGTAACAACACTAAAGATAAAACATATAAATAATTAAATAATTCGTGCTTTTAAGAATCTCATTATTTATTTTGTAATTAAAATTAACATTCACTACGAGTAAAAATGACGTTGAGATAATTACGACGTTTCGAAGTCTTTATTTATGACTCCTTCATTAGGCAATAAAATTGTCAACTAATTTATAAAAATGCATTGAAAAAAATGTTTTCTATAAAAACTAATTTAAGTAATTAGTCATGCATGGTTACAATAAAAAAACGATTGACCATTCATTACCTTTTGAATCATTGAAACCAATAACTTAATTAAAAAATATATAAACAAACAGCCACTCAAA